TGCCTTGCGTGGGAGTAGCGAGGCCGAGCCATGGAGCCGCGAGTGGCTGCCCGCAGGCAGCCCACTGCAGTCCTGACTCGGGCTGAAGGGGACATCCTTTTCTTCAGGTCCTGCCTTATTTACAGCCTGATGCCTAAAGCTTTTTGCTTTTTTTTGTTTAGGGGACTGAGCACTTTTGGGCCCTGCAGCTTTCAGCAGGGCTCTCCCATGGATTACCTAAAAAGCTCATGACAAGGAATCAGTCTTTGTGCTGTGCAAACTGAGCATCTGAAACGAGATCTCTGCCGTGGAGCTTGCTGGGATTGAGCATGTGCTTGTAAGACTCCCAGGTTGAATGAGTTCCTCTTGAAAAAAAACCAAAAAACTAGTGTTTGTAGAATTTCCTGTGAAGTTACTATAGATATAATGAAAACAGGTACAAAGAACACCTTTCACTCTTTAAAGTGGCCTTTGATGGGAAAAAAACTGCATCCAGTCTGAACCACAATGGAATTTTAAGTAGACAAAAGTCTTCTATTTGCAAGTTAGGATTGCTACTCTTGCAAAATAGATCTTATTACAGCTTGGCATACTTTATAGCAAATTCATCAGTAGAGAAACCAAAATAGCTGATAGGGCAATACAGTAGATAGAGCACTCGGGTTGGAAATGAAAAAATAAATCCAGGTCCCTGATGCAGACTGTCTCTCCAGTTACCAAACACATGTTTTTATTTTACAGAAATAATTAACTTGTCTTCACAGTATGTAGAGACTTCATCAACCTTACCTTAAAATAGGCCTTGCACAACTAGTTACTCTTCAGTTTTCTGAAGAGAAAATTAGTATAACATTATTTACTAAGTGGCATTTATGTGAAGAAGTTTTCAGAGACATTCAACCCACATCAGCATTATTATTAATGTCATTGAGTAGGGAAGTTGAGATTATGTGATTGAAGCTGGAATTCCCATATGTTGTTTGATAATAACCAAACTACTGGATCTCTTGGGATGAGGAAGATGTTCTTGCTGCCCAATTATTCTGAAAGATTATGATGTCATGACAGCAAAGACAGTATTTAAAATCTCAGAAGTTTTCCTAGAACATGAAAAATATTTTTAGCCTGGACCTGACTGAAGCATTTTTCGTACTGCTTGTCATAACTGTCAAGAGGAAAGAATTCAAAGTTTACTCAGTCCTTCAAAACTGCAGCCAGTGTTGATTATTACAAGGATTGTTTTTCTTCGGCATAGATGCATGCCTCCTCTTAAGAAGTGGGCTTGACATACACACAAATATAGCTCCAAAAATTGCTCTGACACTACGTGCTCAAGGGGTGTGTTGTATCATCAGCTCTGCTGAAGGCTTGCAAACTCTTTTCTCACCTTTAAAGGACCTCCCTATGCCCTACTGGCAGTGCTTAGTGAGTTTCCAAGGAAAGATTGAAACCAGAAAGAGGAGTGGGCTTTGTCTGAGCTCAGGAGAAGAGCCTGGTGAGAATTTCAGGGGATGGATCAACGAGGTTTGACTGGGGAAAACCAGGCAAGGAAGTGGGAGCAAATGATTAAGTACAGGGGGAGTATAATCATTTTTGATCCTGGTATTAGTTACTTTTAAAAGACTTTATTGTGTGCTAATTAATGCAAAATGAGAAAGACTACTTCCAAGACCAGCTTGTGTGACACACAATATCCAAGTATGCCATCAGCTGGCCTCTGATCTTGAAGACCTAAAAATGAAAGGTTTTGTAGGTCTTGCCCTAACATAGAACCAAAGTTTTAGAACAATGTGAGATGCTTGACTTTGTCAGTTTTAGTACACTGAGCTGTTGACTCAATCCCCATGAGATGGTTATCTCTATACTGCCCAGTTCAAAGCATGTTTGGTATTTTCTGGAAATTGGAACTTAGTTTTGTCTTTTCAGTAAGGATGCTTCTCCAGAAACAGGTGTTTCTGTTTTTTCAACAGTGAATCATACAAGGATGTTGGAAACACTGAATAAGAACTAAATTTATTTTACAGTATGCTAGTAAATTTTAAAGATATGAAAATTAGAATAATATTTTTTATATATCATGATAGTGTGTTCATTCTGGAGGACAGTTTTCCCCTATATAAAAAAAAAAAAAAAAAGAACCCTAACTGAAAAATAGCAAAAGAAAAAAATAATCTTTCTCTGAAAACATTGGCCTTTTAAGGCATCTTAAAATTATGAAAATTGATGGAAGTCTGGGAGTGAGCTGTTAAAAAAGGGAACACTAAATAACTATGGTTCACCGATACGAAATATGTTTGATAGTACTGTTTTAGAAATGTGTTTTTTCTAACTACAAGACCTAATATATTGCATGTTCTTAAAATTCATGGAGCACAGTGCAAAATAAATTCTTTGCATAAAAAACATTATAATTGATCCTATTAATGTAAAATTTCAAATCTTAAATATAGTTGTCGATATAAGTAACTTTATAATTAGATTGAACAGGTAAATTGAAATACATTGAGATGTGTTAAGATGATGATTGATGTCATCCAACATATTAGATTAATGCCACAGCTAGTTGTATTTTTGAGGCAGTAGGAATTTACATGGGAGGGAAAAAAAAGACATAGGTATTGGTTTGGCGTGGCCTGGTTTTAAGTAGCAGGTGGCCTCAGATTTGGCTCCTGTGAGAAGCTGCTGGGAGCTTCCACCATGTCCAGCAGAGCCAGTGGCTGATGGCTCTGAGGATGGACAGGCTGCTGGCCAAAGCTGGGCCAGTGAGAGAGGCTGGAAACATCTCTGTGATGACATATTTAAGAACAAAATCAAAACAAAAGTCACCGATTTTTCTTCTAGTCAGAGAAGAGGAGGAGATGGGAACATATGAGGGAAACAACATGGAGACACCAAGGTCAGTGGAAAAGGAGGGGCAGGAGGTGCTCCAAGCACCAGAGCCAGGATTCCTCTGCAGGCTGTGGTGAGACCATGGTGAAGCAGCTGTGCCCCTGCCGCCCCTGGGGATCCACGGGGGATGCAGAGATCCACCCACAGCCCGTGGAGATCCATGGGCTATGCAGAGATCCACCCACAGCCTGTGGGGATCCATGGGCTATGCAGAGATCCACCCACAGCCCCTGGGGATCCATGGGGGATGGAGAGATCCACCCACAGCCCCTGGGGATCCATGGGGAATGGAGAGATCCACCCACAGCCCCTGGGGATCCACAGGGGATGGAGAGATCCACCCACAGCCCCTGGGGATCCATGGGGAATGGAGAGATCCACCCACAGACCCTGGGGATCCACAGGAGACGCAGAAATCCACCCACAGCCCTTGGGGGAGGTGCCCATGCCAGAGCAGGTGGGTGCCTGGAGGAGGCTGTGATCAAGTGGGAGACCCAGTGGAAAGAGAGGGCCCTGCTTCCAGGCTGGAGCAGCCTGTCCTTGGAGGACTGCACCCCATGGAAGAGAGACCCACGCCACAGCAGTTTGGGGAGGACTTCTGACTGCGAGAGAGACTCACATTGCAGCAGTTTTTTTCCCTTTTTACAGGAAATCACAAGGAAAAGATGAAGTGGAATGGCTACAAATTACTCCTGAGGAGATTGATTTGACACAAGAGGAAAATTTTTCACAATAAGAATATAATCTCCCCAGGTAACTAAGTGGTGGATTCACAAAGGTTGGACACTTTTAAGATTTGCCTGTAGAGGGTGCTGGGCCATGTTGTCAATACAATGCTTTTGCCAAGAAAGGTGGCACCAGGTGATCCTTGGTATTCCTTGCAACCTGGTATTCCATGATTCTATGAAAATGCGGCTTTGTCCTTAGTTTTTCATAGCTCTGGTCATGTTTTTCAAAAGGAAAACTGGTTGCTGTTGGGAGGGCTGGGCCTTATGTCTCTCTCCTTCACTCTCATTTCACACACTTGACTGACTCTAATTTCCTATTTTGTGTTTTCATTCTTACCTTGTGAGGTTTTGTAGCTCCACCCACACAGCAATGCCCTTTGGTTCAAAATGACAAGTGTTACTTTGCAGTGGGTGTTGTAAAAGCCCATCTGAGCTGAAGGCAAATAAATCTGTATGATTAATTATTATACAAAGCACAGCCAAGAGAAAAACTTCCTGTTCTCAGACTTCCACTTCCCCCAGTACTCTTCCCTTCCCATGCAGACACTTGCACTCTTTATCATTCCCGTGGGAGGAAATACTCCTGGGATGTGGAGGTTTGGCTTTATATTATTCCTGAGGTTGCCTGGCAAGGATGTGGAGATAAATTATTCCAGTGTATGGTATAACCCCCAAGATAGGATACACACTTAAGAGATGGAAGATCAAAGTTCACATCTCTGAAAATGTATCAGGATGTGAGCCATAATCTTTGAAAGCTGAGGCAAGTCTTTATGGAAGCAGTGACCTAATTCTGCAAAACAGAACATGACTGAATCCCCATCAGCTGGTCTCCTTTCCTCTGCCTGGAGTTAAGCATGGAAAACATAAGAAAGTGTAAAGTGTTACCTTTTCCGTGGTGTTTTTTGTGGGTTATTTTAGGTCGTAGAATAATAATAATCATGGGTTTTGATGGGACTTTCAGGGACTATGTAGTTCCAGCCCTCCTGCCGTGGGACATCTTCTGCTAGACAAAGTTGTTGAAGTTCCATTCAACTGCCTTGAACACTTCCAGGCATGGGGCATCCACAGCTTCTCTGCATATCCTGTTCCAGTGCCTCACCACCCTCATCATAAAATGTGTCTTCCTTATATCCAGTCTAAACCTGTGCTCCTGCCTAACCACAGGGCTTTCGCCCAGGCTCCCAGCTGGGAGCTGGGGAACCCAGTGGTTCATCCTATGCTTACCTGAGGCAGTTATTACCTGCTGTAGATATCTTCCCCTCCCTTTCCTCCCCTGTACCCGTACATTTGCAGGATCGAGGCTTGTCCTCCTTGATTTCCAGTGGCCAGGCAGCCCAGGGAAGCTGAGCTCCCGTGGCTGGGCAGAGGCACGGAGCAAGGCATGGAGAGGAGGGGTCATTTTAAAGAGCACCCGAGCACAGGCTCCGGTCTCTCTTGCTCACTGTGACAGCGAAGTGCCTCACTGAAAACCAGTGAGCGGGGACGTAAGCGGCCTCTGATCTTTCTCACTCTTTCCCCCACACAATTCCTCTATTTTTGTGTTTGCATTTTCCAAGGAAGAGGCGTTTTCACGGACAGCTGTGGGACAGAATCTTTCTGAGGAGGGTAAGAGGTTTTTAACTCCTCACTTTCAGTTCTTAGAAGGTGGCATTTTGAAGCAGGGGGGAGGATGGTTGGTATAATGCATTGTTTTGGGACCCCAAGTGTCCTTTGACATGACTGGTACTTAAGCTAAAATAAAGTAGGTGAAATTAAACAATCATAGAAAACCAAATCACTCAGGGTTTTCAATGTTCAGTAACTTGGTTTTATTATAGTACTGTTTGATTTGTTTCAGTAGGTTTGCGTGTCCCGTCACTTACAGTGCTTGTGCACTAAGCTAGCTTGTGAAATTTCTGCTGCTGAAAAAGCATTTCTCAGGAAAAAACTTTGGATAGTGAGCATTTTTGAACAGAGCTTAAAATGTTGTATTTAAATGAGCTCTGCAGTGATGCAATGAGGCAATAAACATTAAGTACTACATGTATTAAAAATTTTAAGTTACAAGTCTCTAAAAATACTTAGAAAACAGATAAGGCTGCCAAAAGAACACGCCTTCACCAACTTTAAATTGTGACTATTAATATGCAAAGCTATAACTATGTATGTAACATACAAAATTATCCAAAAGTTTTGTTTCGCTTTTTTTCCATGCCAGCAAATATACACAACACTTGAAACATTGTAGAATTTTTCCAACAAAAGTTGTGTTAAACAGCTAAGTATACTAAAACACCAGCTATACCTTCAACTGAACCTGTCTTAAAATGGCAAGCTGCTGGGAGGTTGCTATTCTGGGAGGTGACTCTGATAGGTCTCAACAGATGCAGCTCCTGGAATGCAGCCGGAGCGGGGGAGCCGGGCAGCAGCTGACCCCTGTGCTGGCACACTGGCATATCAGGGATCACAGCTCACGTCAGCATAGGCTGACACTGACACTCTGGGCACACATGGCCCTCTCCCTTGCCTGCTCTGCACATGGTCATCACCCAGCAGCAGCAGCAGCAAAAAACTGCTGGTGCTCACAGGCAGCAACCATTCCTTTCTATAATTAAATTACCATTTTGTTACATGCTGTGTGCTTAAGGAAGAAATTATGTGCTGAGATTCTAGATTGAAATATTACTGAAGTCTTTTTATTTTGTTATCTACAATAAACCAGTCATTCGATTTATCATTAATTAGCATTTTTTCAAGTTTGAGTTTTTATGACTGCAAGGATCACAGAGAAAATTAGCATGTGTAAATTGTTTTAAAATCAATGGATATACTGGAGATAAATGCTATGTTTGAATCTATTTGAATGCTGATCTCCACAATTCTGTTTAAATTGTGTTATTGAAGATCAGTGATTTTCTTCAAGTATATTTGCACATACATATATTTGTTTGAAGTAACTCCTTTGTTACCAGGAGCTGTCTCACATCACATTTGACAAAACAGTGGCTCTTTATTTCATTGAGAGCTCTACTAGAGCTGATATATATAATTTAAATATGTGTTCTAACATAATTATGGGACCGATTCTTACCTTCCCATATGCAGAACTTGTTCAAAATAACAATCCTGATAGAGTCTGTGTGACATTTTTTCAAATAGAAGTTAGACATGTCCCTAAATCTCCACAAAATCCTAAAAGTAGGATTATAGATTTCGAATTACTGATACTGAAAAGCAATTAAAGTATGCTATGAGCAGAAAATATTTGCACATCTGACACAGGAAATAGGACACTATTACTCTATAAAATGAAAAGTTACAAAAACCTGAAAGGAGTTTGGAGCAGGACTTAAATCTAAAATCAATATGACATCATATTAAAATCCTCTTTATGTCTCATCTGGCTTTTGTTTCTTTAAGAATTTTTCCCAGTCTTAGTATTTCCCGGCCAAGTTCTGTACTCACCTGTAAGTCTGTAGCAACCCTGGAGTAAGGATGAACAAACATGGGGGTCTGTATATTTCCTGTGCTTCAGGCTAATGAATTCAGGTCAAGAACCTGTCTGATTTAGATAAATATATTCAAAATTTTACACTCTGGCAAACCCATTTAGAGAATTTAACTTTCTGACTGTGGTGATAATAGGTGAATGTTAATTTATTGTCTTGTTATTTAAAACAAAAAGAAATTACTGAATTACTTGTAAGTATATTCTTCAAAGTTGGAGTATTGACTGTTATTAATAAGCAGCCATGTTGCAATCTAGAATTTAGGAATACAGATTATCCTGTATGTATGGTTTTGTGGCATTATACGTCTTGAAAAAGGTTAGATTTCTTGCATAATCACACAGCTATTAAATTTCACAACTGTGGTGTTTAATTTTATTTTTAGCAAGTGCTTGGCTGTAATATTTCATTGCAGTCATGGCTCCTAAGAAGAAGAATGTGAAAAAGAACAAAGCGGATATCAACGAAACAACTATCATTGTGGAAGATAGCCCCCTCAGTAAACTAAATGGCTTGAATGGACTCTTGGAAGGAGGAAATGGTTTCAGCTGCATTTCATCTGAGGTTTCGGACCCATCATACTGTCCAAACCTCTTGGAAGGTCTAAGCAAAATGAGACAAGAAAATTTCCTTTGTGACTTGACTATCAGTACCAAAACCAAATCATTCAGTGTTCATAAGGTAGTGATGGCTTCAAGCAGTGAATACTTTCACAACATCTTAAAGAAAGATCCGTCCACTCAAAGAGTGGACCTCAATGATGTGTCCCCAGTGGGTCTAGCTACTGTTATCACCTATGCTTACACTGGAAAACTTACTCTCTCACTTTATACAATAGGAAGTATTATTTCCACAGCAATTTATCTACAGATTCACACCCTTACAAAGATGTGCTGTGATTTTCTAGCCCAAGAAATCAGTGTTGAGAACTGTATGTACATTGCCAATGTTGCAGAAACATACGGACTAAAAGCAACCAAGGAAGCAGCGCACAAATTTATTAAAGACAACTTCATTGAATTTTCAGAAACTGATCAGTTCCTAAAACTTACTTTTGATCAGATTAATGAACTTCTTGCAGATGATGACTTACAGTTGCCTTCTGAAATTGTTGCATTCCAGATTGCAATAAAATGGCTAGAATTTGACCAAAAAAGAGTAAAGTTTGCTGCCAATCTCTTAAGTAACATCCGTTTTGGTACCATCTCAGCCCAAGACCTTGTCAATTATGTTCAAACTGTGCCAAGAATGATGCAAGATGCAGACTGCCATAAGCTCCTAGTGGATGCCATGAACTATCACTTGCTTCCCTATCACCAGAATACACTTCAGTCCAGAAGAACAAGGATCCGTGGAGGTTTCAGAGTCTTAGTTACTGTTGGGGGACGCCCTGCTTTAACAGAAAAGTCTCTTAGCAGAGACATCTTATACAGAGACCCTGAAAACGGATGGAAGAAGCTAAGTGAAATGCCTGCTAAGAGTTTTAATCAGTGTGTCACAGTGATGGATGGATTTCTCTATGTGGCTGGTGGGGAAGACCAGAATGATGCCAGGAACCAAGCCAAGCATGCAGTCAGCAATTTCTGCAGGTAACTACTACTTCTTTAAAAGGGATGGAGGTATCAATTCCACAGAAAGCAGGTAGATAGATTAAGCTGGTTTGTGTCATGCAACATGAATCACTTGGATGAAGAGAAATGGGACAATGTAGGGGAGGTATAGATGCTATTCTATATTAAACTTTGAATGAACAGAAATATACAACTAGAGTTATGCAAAAAAATTCACCATGGTTACACATACACACTGAGAAGTGAGGAAAAACTGAGAAAACTTATTCCAAGTGGAGGAAATAGACAGGAACATTAAATAGGAAGTCATGGGATGTTCTAAGGAGACTTCAAATTTTCAAAAGTTTTTGATGCCTCACAAAAAGTTTGGTTAGAAAACTACCTTTTACATATTATAGCCTTCACTTTCTATTCACCATTCACGATATGTTCAACAGCTTTTTGTATTGAAATTTCTGTACTGAAATTAATTTCAAATCCTTTATTTTTTTGTTATTATTATTATCAAGAGTTTAGAAACAATGGTAGCAGTCTTTTACAGTGTACCCCAAACAATACCTCACTTCTAAAATACTGCAGTTGCTATCTATAGTCATCTGAGACTGCACTGGTGATAGTAAGGTCAGAAGAGTGCACACACTAACATGCAATGTCACAAGGGCAGTAGCAGTTTTTAAATAATTCAGCCTAAAAGCTGCCAGCTTGATGCAAAGCAGTAGCTTGATGCAAAGGCTGGTGGTGGGAAAACTTTTATCTGCCTTTTATTTACTAACAGACTATGAACACACAATGACATTGCACAGCTGCAGTCCTACCAGTGCTTCCTTTACTGTTCCCAGAAGAAACAGTCAGCTTCTCCTGAGGATATTAACCAGTACACCAAGTTAAAGAATGAGGAACATTCTCTAGATCAATTTTATTGTGTAATCTACTTTGTCAGAAAAATATCTGCTCTCTTGACCTTCTGCCTTTAAGCTATGCCTCACATTGTCACAAGGAGTTGTGCCCTCAGTGCACACCTTGGTTGCAGGGAGGAGGCGGGGGAATCCTCGTTGTGCCCTTAACCTTGAGCATGTCAAGTCACATCAGTATGTCTGTGGACTTGCAGATGACAACACTGAATGACAATTAAGTATTTACTTTCCCATAGTCTTTTTCTCATGTGATTCTCTGGTCCCCTTAGCATGCAACAGAAGTGTGTGGGTCCACTAGTGCACCTCACTCAGCATCTTCTGGAGTCATAATTTGCCATTTCCTATTTCAAAGTTGCTCATTTAAATGTCAAGGACAAAGAATGTTATTTCAGATGGGAATGGTATTAGAAAGCACAAATGGTCTTTCCACATAAAACTTACTCCATGGGAGTGGTGAGGAAAGTATATTCACCATTTAGAAAGCACTAAGAGGATACAAGTATAAATCACCGCCTAAAGTTTTTAAAAACTGTATGAGTAAATTTAGATGTCTTTGCCGTGGGTGTAAATTGCAAAAGAATGTCTAAAATTTCTACTGTATCTTGGAAGTATCTCTTTCCAGTATTCTAATGAGATTATTATACAAAATCAAATTACATCAGATTTACTTCATCAGAGAATCAGATTTAGTTCATTAAAATAATACCAGATTTGAATGATACAAAAATATTTTTTCTCCAGTCAAAACCTAAATTTATTTGGAAATTTAATCAGGAATACCAGTTTCATTACACTGACTTTCAATAAACTAACTAAAATTCTAGCAACTCCACTCTTGCAGCAGTGGCATAGGAGTACTGTATAATTTAGCAGAGCAGTGTTACCTTTTTTTTTAATCCTTTCAGGTATGACCCTCGTTTCAACAGCTGGATTCACTTGGCGAACATGAATCAGCGGCGCACCCATTTCAGCCTGAACGTGTTCAATGGCCTCCTCTTCGCTGTGGGTGGCCGCAACTCCGAGGGCTGCCTCTCCTCTGTTGAGTGCTACGTGCCTGCAACTAACCAGTGGCAGATGAAAGCCCCGCTGGAGGTGCCCCGGTGCTGCCATGCCAGTGCAGTGGTGGATGGCCAGATCCTGGTCACAGGAGGTTACATCAATAATGCTTATTCTCGCTCAGTGTGCATGTACGACCCCAGCAAAGACAGCTGGCAGGATAAGGCCAGCCTCAGCACCCCAAGGGGCTGGCACTGTGCAGTGTCCCTTCTGGAGAGGGTCTACGTCATGGGTGGGTCTCAGCTGGGGGGGCGAGCGGAAAGGGTCGATGTTCTCCCTGTGGAGCGTTACAGCCCATACACGGGGCAGTGGAATTACGTGGCGCCACTTCAAACCGGAGTTAGCACGGCGGGCGCCTCCACCCTTAATGGGAAAATTTACTTAGTGGGTGGCTGGAATGAAATAGAGAAAAAGTACAAGAAATGCATTCAGTGCTATAACCCAGATCTCAATGAATGGACAGAGGAAGATGAACTGCCTGAGGCCACTGTGGGTGTATCTTGTTGTACTATATCCATGCCCAACACCAAGACGAGGGAATCCAGGGCCAGCTCAGTCTCTTCTGTCCCAGTCAGTATCTAAAGATAGGTCTAACCAGCAATAAGTAAAAATGTTTACCAGCACAGCAATATAATTAACCCTTTAAGTAGAATTTTTGGGCTTATATGGAAAAAAAAAATTATTGGCTTTGCAAATGTGCTTTTTAACAGTGCAAACTGGCCAGTTTTCATGAACTTTAGTACAGGTGGCATGAAACAGCACATTAGTGCCTTTAAACAGTGCAAACTGGCCAGTTTTCATGAACTTTAGTAGAAGTGGCATGAAACAGCACGTTAGTGATAAGATCAATTTCCATAGCAGGAAAAGAGAGAGTTAACGCATAACCACAGAATTTAATTCTCCTCCTTATTTTGCCACTGACTTACTATACTATCTGTGGCAAATAATTTCATGTCTTTGTGCCTTGGTTTCCTTACCCATAAAATCGAGATAAACTTGCTGCAGAAGATTATTATGAGGCTTTTTAATACAAAGTTTTAAATGTTTTCAGAACCCAAAATAAAAGTCAAATATGATTAGTAATAAATATCAATATAAATTAGAAATGTGCCATATCATAAAATTGATCAGTTTTGTTCTTTTCTAAGCATTTTCTATTTTCAGAAACAGAAGGGGGAAAAAAGGCAAACCAAAAATACCACATATAGCATGTGCATACTTTCTTTTTGGGACAATGGTATTCACAAAAACTTCTCAAAGCATTTTCTCCTTCAGAAGGTAGAAAGAGTTCCTCATCTTCTGCCATGAAACCCTTTAATTCCTATACCAAATGCTGTGACATGGCTTTCAAGATCTGAATCCATGAAATACTTTATCTCCCATAATCACTATGGGCCAGACCCAAGGGGCTACTTTGGGTGACAGATGTCTCTCCTGACCTCTGTGTACACCAAGGAACACCACCTCATCCTTGTCCTCATGCTGGGGAGACACCCCTCTCATTCCAGGTTGAAAAACCTAGAAGCTGAGTTCATGCCAGGAGACACCAAGGGCTAATGGCATCTGAACATGGGGAAGATGCACAGAACAAACTCCCTTACATTACTCCAGCAAATAACCAGTGGAGTGAAGAACAAAGATGGAATAAAGACTTCAGGATCTGCCCCTTGGAATTTATGTGGAAAACAGAGAATCACAGGAAAACTCCTTTAGTAGAAACAAAGAGATACCATAACACCTTTCTTGCCAGTTGTAGGCACAACAACACCTGAAGTAACTTTCTCCTGGGCGTACTATTGTGTATCTCCTTCTGAAGCCTTCATTATAGCCCTTTTCATGGAGATTTCATTCATATTATTCCAAAGGCTAGACTAACGCTCTTTGTGTTGAAGTTTTCCCAGTGAATAGAATGGAGTCTTCACTCAACTTAGTTTACGTTCCAAGAACTTTTCTTCCTGATTTCAGCGTGAAGTAGGGGAATTAGCATGAAACCTAATCCTATTCTCATAGCCAAAGGGATATGCAGCCCATCGTGTCCTGGGAGGATTTGACACCAAAGGACTTCTGTCAGCACAGAATGTCTACAACAGCACAAAATGTCTACATCCTTCTTTTAGGGAGGAAAGAGGGAACACAAGGAATTAAAATGATTTAATATAACCAGAAGGGCACTCACTTTAACCAATTCATGGAGGCTTCACATTCAGTTTCTTCAGATTATCATTAACACCTCCAGGCTTCAGTGCCAATGAGAAGCCACACTCTTAGCAGCACCTATGAGGCAGACAAATTTTTATCTCATTTGCAAAAAGGGAACACTATAAAATTGTCTGTCAGTGCAGATGTTGTTGAGACAAGCATTTTCAGGACCCAAGCTCTTTGTAGCTTTGTTAAAGCTGCAAATTGAGGATCAGCATAAGCGTGTCATGGTATTAGAAATGAAGTAATTCACTCTGTCAGTTGGGATTAAACTCCATGGTACTCAGTCCTGTTTTCCAATTCTAACTTAGAGTTCAAGTTTGCATCCTGACTATAAAATTTCGAATTTCAAATTGTATTTTTGAGTGCTGTATGTTATTAAATCTACTGCCACCAATGACTTGTGGTCAGAGAAGCACTGTCATATAATTTTGATTCATTCAGTTGGTATATAGGTGTCCTCTACTCTATGTAATTCAAATAATAACAAATGTGGAACAGAGTAACATTAAGTATGAAAATTCTGTTCTTTCCCATTCCAGTCACCAAATATTTTTCCTGAAGAAGAGAAAAATTTCTCTTTTCCCAAGTCATGACCACATGTTCCATATGAATGCATATAGGAAGCTCTTTAGAAATAACCATCCGTTCCAATACTTTTTTTTGTAAAATTTTTTTCTCCATCCAGTCCAATGAAGACACCTGTATACATTCAATTGTAACTGTATACATGGTGTAGTTATTTAGTTTTTATAAGGTATCCACAAGGTTGCATTTATGAATTGAAAAAACCTACTATTATGGCCTCAAACAGACATTGGATGCAATTGTCATATGCAAGTGTCTCTTTCTCCCTTTAGGAATTCAGTTCCAAAATGCCATGAATAGTCAGACACTGCTGCATGCTTTCCTGTTTATGAGCTAGCACTTCATGTACATCAACAACCATCTTGGTTTTGAGTAGTAAATTATTTATGAATGATGGGCTAAGTGCAATGAAACTTCTCTCTTACTACTTAAAGGGTTAAAAACTTTGGGGGCCAAATCCTTTTCATCTTACTCGCAAAAAAAGGTTCCATTGACTTCAGTGGGACTACTGAATAAGATGTACAGGATTTCGAACTCTTGGCCAAATTCTGGCAGAACAGTAGGTAAAACTGTCATACCTAGAAGGAAGACTGCTCCGTTGCCTCCAGTGCCTTTGGCCACAACATGCTGACATGTCCTAGGACAGGAGGCAAATACCACTGGCCATGTGTTCCTTCTGTAGCACAAGTTAGGTACATACTTCAGGCCAAAAATCTTAGGTAGATTAACAACTGGTATTGTTACCAATACAACACTACAGGTTGGCTTTACATTATTTTCTCTAAACATCTTTTTAGGTTTCAACTGCACATTGAGCCAGGATTTGGCCCTTAATATGTGACACTATTAGCTGGACTTAATATTATGTTGAATCATACTCTGTACTGAGCTATTTGTGACATTTTTATGTATGACCTTCTTTTGTTAGAACTGTGAAAATTATTTGTCTGTTCTGTTTTATGGGATAGTGTTCTTTCATTGTCTGGTACCATATATTCAATCTCTAGATATTTAATAATGACATCTCAGTTGAACTTGAAATACTGTATATACCAGAAAGAAGTTTTAAAGTACAAGGAAGTACTGTATACAGTAACATTAAGTAGAGCAGAAAATTTCCAACTGTGTGAGATGCGGACTGTTAAAGCACTACAGGGATCTTTTTTAATGCTATACTAGTAGTAGGAAAAAAAACCAAAAAAACAACAAAATAAATTAACATAAGCTGTTGCCTTCTAAATTCTGTATAAAACACAGATGCATTTTATAGTTGACACATGTGCTTCAAATTCAGATCTGAAAAATAAGCTTTCTTCAGTTTGTGAGAGAAGCAGTTTGCTAGGGTTTGTTTTCTTGTTTATTCCTGACTGTTTAGGTGCATGGGAGAGTGTGTTAGAGATTGAGAGGGAGGGACTTACTGCTGGAAAATTGTGCTGAAAGGAAGGTGTTGTGTTTAGTTCTTAATCAAGACAAGATAATGATCATTCAATTTCTTCTTCAAGTTAACCTGCAAGATCATCTGTGGGTCAGTCAAGAGTCCAGTAAATTTGAATCCTTCAATGAGGAAAGCAGGCAAAATTAGCATCAACCAAGCTCAATGAGGTATTGAAAAGTGCTTTGTGTTGAGATTTTTAAATGACAATTCTTGCAGAAAAAAGGATGCAATGAATGAAATGACAGAGTAAGAACATTTATATTATCCTGAAACCTAGATTAGTTTCTCTGACAGTTCTAACTCTTTACCAAATCATACTGGGTTTAGGAGCAGTTTTTCCTTAGCAGCAGCTGGGCTTGGTAATTCTAGTTGCAAACCCAGCAGTCACACAGAGAGTTGTATGAGCACACATGCCTTCTTGCATTCAGTGGGACTTCTGCTACAGAAGATATTCTCAGGGATTTATACTTGGAAAAATAAAAGAACGAAATCCATGAGTAGACAAACATCAATGTCTAATTAAAGGCAACATGAGGGTGTTAGACTGATTCTCAGCATCACCATTCACTTACCATACCAGTACATGGCATTTTTTGAGACTCAATTACCCTGTAAGGATAGTATTTCCTTGGAATGGCTGCTCAATCATACACTCCAAGGTTTTTTCTGCAACACAAAGGATGGGAGGTGCTCTAGTCCATGGAAAGGCCAAAATGGAGCCACTTAAAACCATCAGCAAGCTAAGATTTTGTTCCAGTCCTCAAGGATGTTTGAGAAAAATATGCTGGAACAAAGCACATACTGCAACACATACCTTTCCATAAGTAACTTCACTTATGTTTCATAACTGAGATTTTCATCATCTTTCTGATGAAAAGCAAAGATCAATTTTCAATTGTCTGTAACTTCAATTCTCACCTGAACTGAATTTTCAGTCCATTTTAGTCCATTTTCAGTCCATCCAAGATCTCCTGGGAGATCTTTTTCAAAGTCTGAATTCACCTGCACAGAGAATGCAATTGGAACCAGTAGTCCTACTATAGGTTCTTGACCTTTTTACAATGAATCTTCTAATCTTTTTTTGTCAAAGATTTGCTTTGTGTAAGTACTCAAAAACATTGTAATGCACAGATTTATACTTCGACTTCTCCTTAAAAGATTTCTTGTCTCAGTTTCAGTTTCTCTTTTCTTATCCATAACTGAGTGACTATCAGAGCATCAAAGATGCACAGATGTGTATCTGTAAATGCTCAGCTGTGAATCTAAAAATCTCATTGCTGGTATCCCCAATGAAGAAAAGAACACAATCTGAAATGCCTGGACAAATTAATAAAAAAAGGGTGAAACATCACAGAATCATGGAATATTCTGAGTTGGAAGGGACCCATAAGATCACAGAGTCCAACTTTGCTCATTTGCAAGTGTGACCCTGCACAGAGCTCTGTTCCCAGAAGTTCCCTAAAGAATAAAGGAAAATATGTGCAATTCTATACAGCTGGTGTGAGAGATTTGGTTAACACCAGATAAATTTTGCCATGCAAAAGGCATGTCTCAATGAAAATTTTCAATAACAATATAGGCAATTAATAAACTTATGAGGAATAGGCAATTTCTGTTGGTAAGAATGGGAACACAGATATTTAGGTACACTGTGAAAGGAAGATGATGTTACTCTAGTTGCAGTCTTAGCAGTTCCTTTATTGGCAAGAAAAGTTAAAAATAAAACTTCTTTGTATAAAGCATTTTTCTGGCTTATAAGTGTTAGATTGCTTAAACAGAAGGGTTTTCTAAGTGTACACTTTAAAGATGGACTGTGATAACAAAAGGGAACATATTACAACAGAAAAAAATCTGTAAGTGTAATGTGAGAATATTACTACTTAAAAACTAAAATTTGTAGTACAGCAAGTTGTCATTAAGAGGAAAACAGCATGTTGTTATTTTTCATTGTGTGCTTTAAATAAAACTGTTGACACATGGTGCAAACAAATTATTCTTACTGTAAAATCAGTTGGAAACTGCGAGACTGTCTTTCTGACAAATGCCTGGTTGCAGTTGAAATACGCTTTGTTTTCTGAGCCCTGGGCTGATCCTTGCTTTCATATCAGCCAACTGGAATGTTTGTTACACCCAGGCCATCAAACCACCTTCACAATAAGCTGTGATTGTCACAATGTGACAATGTGACACTTTTATCTTTTCCATTTTATAACAAAAATAACAACTTGCTTTTTTACAAAGCATTTCACAGTCTTTTGTTGTAATCTAAATGCCTAACAAGAAGTGATGATAAATCAGATGTCTGACTAGCAACTGATCATGTTTTTATTTGGATTGTATGGCTAACAGTACCAAAAATAAAAACATCTAAATTTCAAGGAAAATAATTTGTCAAAATTCTGAAGAGCAATTAAGTTGTGCCACAGATGAGAGGGTTTGAGATGTCAAAAATTGTTCCTTGTGTTGTGACACCAAGGACTTGGTCCAAAGTGTGATTCTATAGGTTACAACCTGAACGGTTACCTGGCCTGTGGCTGTCAAGACATCATGACTATGGCTTCCTAAGATTCCATAATACACAAGGACAGAGGCTTTATCCTCTGAAATGTTCTACTTTATTACATTTAGCACAAAGATCACTGCTAGCAAGTATACCAATAGTTATTACAGCTAATATGAAGATCAATGGATATGAATGAATATGAATGTCAAGCTATTACAATTATTATCAGTAATCAATAATATCAGTCAATAAGTATAGTGTCAATCAATACTTGCATCAAGCAGTATGGTAGGATACCTGATGACAGCAACAATTAAGTAGGGATGTACTATTACAATTACTGGAGCTTGCCACTGAAACAAACTGATCAACAATAATATAACAGCAAATATGCTTAATGTACGTAATATTTACATTCAGCAAATTAGCCAGACCTAAGAAAAAGCCAAACCAGCCCAAAAGGGAGGAACAAACTCATCCTGGAGGGGGCACTCAATCATCCCCAAAAGAGAGGAAGAAAGACCCAAGCAGTAAGACAACAGAGTTCCTCTTCAAAAAAGATCCCTGACACAAAGTCTGGAGTCAGCCAGCACTCCCACTGAGTCCAAGAGAATGGACAGTTCACATGGGATTCAGCTGGGAATTTCTCAGAGGGAGACAACTTTAGTTCCTTTTATAACAGAGAGACATTGAGTGTGTGTAGGAGATTCTGCTTTGAGAAGTTAATAGATGATGTTAATTTCTATTTTTTACTTCTAACAGGCAATAGATGATTCTGTTTTCTGATTATTTTTTACAGCAATTTTGTATCTCTGTGCTGTTTTCCACTTTCTCAAAAAGTAATTTCTGAGAATTTGCTGAGAAATTGCATAAACAATTTTCAAGTAAATTGTCATTACAGTCTCTTGGATTTGCACTTATTCCTGGTACCTTGGGATGTCACGGGTTTCTAGGTCCCTGGCTGCACTTCTCTAGGATGCTTGCAGTTCCCGGGCCTAGTCCTCAGTCTCACAATCCCAGGCTGGCAGACCTCTCTCTGTTATGATTTTCAACCAACAAATTCTTCCGTACAGCAATTTTCCTCTTCTAACCAGGTTGCAGACAGCTGGGTGAGCAAAGTCAGCTAGGTGGGCCTGCTGGCTCTGAACTAGGACCCATGCACCTCTGGTGCAGCAGCTGGGCTCCTTAGGGCGCCTGAAAAGATACTGCATGCCTGTGAGTGTGCTAACCTGCACATCAAATCTGGGGGTCAGGACTCAGTTGTCTAAATGCCCCTTGTGAGGATGCCCCAGGTGCTGCAGAACATTTCAAATGGCACTGGGTGTCCAGCTATGGCCACTAAGTCAAGCCTGGGGAAGAGGACTTATGTGCCACTCTGGTCTGCACACTGCAGTCCAGAGTGAATGGCTGACCTGTGCGTGTGCTGATATGTCCACTAGTCCTGGCTGCCTTGGTGATGAGGATTTTGAGGAAGCAAAAGGGATGACTTTGCTTCAAAATTCAAGAATGGCTTTGAAGAGTCAAGGTGAGTTTGTAATTATAAGAACTGCTAGAAAGAGAGATATTACAATTAGACTATGATATAAAAGCAAAAATATCTTAAGCAAGTCTTGACAAATGCATTATAAATGCTGGTATTTAGCAATACTCAGCATTGCTAAAGTAAACATGGATTAAATTAGAAACTGTCGGGATCCTTTATTTCTTATATTTGCCTTGTTACTTAAGGGCTTGAGAAAACGTATTTTTCTCTATTGAAGTTATATTTCAGAGCTTATTATGTCATCATTTGCCTTCAAAAACAGTTAAAGAATATGAGTGAAATATTTACTTAGCAAAAGCTGATTTTTCTGTAAATTATCCATAATTTAGCTTTAAGTCTTGCATAGATTTATGGTGTCCATTATAGCAACTTAAACCCAGAATGTAGAGGCCTATAAATTGGTATGCTGCTTGTTTTCATGGAATGCTTATAAGGTAGATGTTACTCAAACCTATGGCACAGTATTCTTTTTTTCCTTTGAAGGACACCATGTATTTTATAAGTAAAATTCCTAAGTAGCACAAAAAGTTCTACCTGAACATGAGGAAGAACTGTACTGTGCAGATGACTGTGCATTGGAACAGGTTGCCCAGAGAAGCTCCAGAGTATCCCTCACTCAAGAATCATCTGGACACAATCCTTTGCCATGTACTCTAGGATGACCCTGCTTAGGCAGGAGGCTGGACCAGATGACCATCTGTGGTCCCTTTCAATCTGACCCATCCTGTGACTCTGATTCTGTAGTGATGTGAGAATAACTGAATAAGGTCAGAGTTCTGCTGAATTTAATTAGAAACAGACAAATCGAACAGACTGCTTTTGTGTTGTGTTATTTGTGTATGGAATTATTCTGAGCCAAACAGTAAATTTGTTGAAGTTACTTCTCTAAAGGAAGAGAATAAATTCAGATTAAAGGTCTTTCAGTCTGCAACTTGCGGTTTTTTTCAGTGAACGTGGCTACAGAACAAATCAGGACTTCTCATTCTGTGTTGGGTAATGCCACCTTGTAACTACAGTGTAAGTGCTTTTGCAGGGAATTGCTACTTAGATAACCAGGAACGCCACGTTGCTTTACTGAACGTAGCAAAGCTTGTCTTTCTCAGCTTAATGTCAGCTGGCCGCTTCTATTCCTTGCCTTTAGTCAAGGGCACAAAGTTCGCCCAGTTAATTTAGTTTCAATCTTCAATTCGGCGCCTGATGCTCACGCATCCCGAAGGATCATCACTCTGCGCAGGATCTCCAAAGGGTTTTGCTCTCCTGAATTGTTCCGGGAAGGAGACACTGGAGGGCACCAGAGGCCGGGATGTAGCCGGGCTCCCCGCGAGAGACAAGCAGGGACAGCCGGGTTGGGGCCCTGCGCAGAGCCGGAGCTGACGCGTCCCTGCCAGCCCGGGCGGGGGCCGTGCTGCTGTCCCACTGGGAACCTGACGGCAGTACCGGGGCAAAGGCACAGGGAAGGCCACCAAGTGCTTATTTCAGCTAGCAGCGCTGGAGGCTCCGGGGAACCGGGAGAAAGAGGGGAAGAACATTCAAGAGTTATTACCTCATGTAAAAATGTGTATTTCAGCGGCGGTCTGCCCACTTCCCCTTCTCTCATGTCCATCTATTGTCCGTAAACATACTGAGAGAAAAGATTCATACCTCTGGACGATCCCAACAGGCTGCTGCCATGAAAAAAAAAAAAAAAAAAAAAAAGCAGAGTGCAATTCAACAAGGATGAGCTGAAAAAAATCACATTTTCTAAAATCTAAAAATTTCTAAAATCAAAGTGCACAACAGTGCATGAGGTTTGACATCAGGGAAATGTTTCTTGGATTCAGAATGAATTTCTGGTCACTGCAAGAGAGTACCACCCCTGCTTTCACAGGGAAAAGGACATAATCTTGACTGGGAGGATATACATCTTTCATGTTTTTGGCTCACACCAGGGACTTGGTTTGCATGTTGCAGATACATGATCTCACCATCAGCCTATCTGAAAGTTTTTCAGTCCCCTCTTGTCAGAGCTGTTCCAGTTTGAATACATTACTTAATATTTACCACCCTTGCAGGGTAGGGAATACATTTCTTTTCACTTTCCCAAGCCAGTCTGCTAAATGCTGATAGCTCAGGACAAGTTCTTACAAGAACATATTTTGCTTTCATCCCAGTGCAGTACAAACACATTTTCTAAATTACTGACATTTAGCAGATGGGAAAAACCGTTATTTCCTATGTTGCTGGGAGAATGGTGCAGCCAACAGATTCCTGGCCCAGCTGCTGCTCTAAAGCTGTTATGCTGGTCACTGCATACACTTGAGGGTTCAGCCAGTGAATTATGGTTTGCTATAATAAGAATATTTTGCTTTCCATTAGATCACACTTGGTGGAACAAAAGCAAATGCACTGAAGCAGTCAAAATTTTTATCAGTGACATTTCAGGGTCCCTTTGCTTCATTGATGGTGTCAAACAAGTTCTAGCAAAAGGACACCTTAGCCACATTGTCAGAAGTAACAGATCAGCTCTTCTGAAGCAGGAACAGATGTGGCAGGCCAGGTGACCTGCAAAGCATTGACACTGCAAAGGAATTAACAAAGCTGAAGAAATGAAAGTGAACATTATAAATCATGTATTAAAACTGAGTGCAGAGCTCTCTTAAGGTGTTATGTGTGTAATAACACCCTAAGATGTTAGCAGCAGCTTGAATTCTTCTCACGCAATCCTTTGAAAAAAAAAGATATCTGTCTCCTGGATGGATATTATTGCAGGGGTTCACAGCAAAGAGACTGGTTCATGCAGCAGAAGCAGAGCAGGAGGTGTCAGTTTGGGTAACTACCCAGAAGTGGGATCTGTTCATATGAGAAGTAAGTGTTCAGAGAATTCCCATAGGATCATATCTCTTTGGAAGAGCAGACCACTTAAAAAGGCCAGATCAGTCATGCGAGTCATGAAGCTGAGGAGTTGCAGGCATTAGTTGCTGTGTAAGCTAAATGCTTTCATATCTGCCACTGGTCCTTTGAAACACTGAGGACAACCCAAGGTCAGGAAGCGTAAATTTAGACATCTATATATATGCACTAGATATTAAACCTTCAGTTACAGGCAGTACTGTTAAAGGTACATTATCAGCCAATGCAGGCACATAAAGTGATTTATTCGGTCACTCACAAGTCCTCCTGTAGGATAAGCCAAGTTACTCCTTAGGCTTTACTGACTGTATTGGCTAGAGACAAGATTCACACATAAATGTCCAGCACTACCTGTGTGCTGGGAGGGTGTCCTGTCTGGCATCCAGCCATCCCAAAAGGACATGGGTTTCCCTTATGTTCTAAGTGCCAGGCACATCTCAGACTTCTGAAATTCTTCCAAAGGCACTAACATTTAGGCAAATTAATCAGACCATTGGTTTCCACTGATCCATTGATCACCACAATCAAAATATAGACAGCAAGCATGTTTATATCTTGTAAATAAATTGTAAAATCTTTATAAATTAACATGTAGGCATGGTAATTTAAGGGCCTCCATCTTGAAGTGAATTCCACTCCAGATATTACCTGTTCTTCTCTGCCCTTGAAAATTTTGTTGGCTAGAAGTTTCATTTTGAAGCTGTTGTGTCTTTTAATTTTAGAAGCTCTCATGCTTTCTTTCACTCACCTGAAATATGTCCATCAACAGTTCACATTCTTAAGGCTTAACAGGCTAATGCAGAACAAATACATGTGCACACAGGTAGCTCACTGTTTAGAGACTGCATTAAAATTTTCCTAACTCTTGCTTGTGTTTTGCAAGAAAATCCCTGGAAGGCAGTCCTGTGGCCCTCCTTCAGCATATGGGGACAAAAATGCTATTTATGGGGAGTTATGGGTGACATGGGAATGAATGTGTTTAAGAACATCAGAAAAAAAACAGTAAAATGAGTTCAAAGGAATGGTCAGTATTAATAACCAAAGAAATATATGGAAACAGTCAGACTGGAAGATGCTGAGGGATGAGTTGTTCATTTATATCACAACCAGAAGGCCTTGCTCCCTCTGCAAGAGGATGGCAACAAGAATGTCACATGGGCCATGCTTCCTTCCACTGTGCCATGAGGAAGATGAGGATACTTAAACAGAGGTATCATGGACAACAGATAGCAACCTTGCCAGAGTTTTATGGAGAACAAAGCTTTTGAGGATGAAATGAGGATTTGGCATTCACTGATCATCATTCAGCATTGGACTCTGGACCAAATTCTGGTCAAGATCAGCTTGGGAGTGATTGCTCCAGTTCATTTGTTTTGAAGTTTTTCTCCCAGCCTGCATTCTTTTGTTTTTGCTGGGATGAAACACAAAACAAAACCTGCCTGACATTCAAACTGTTCTGCTGGTGACTCACTGATGCACTCCATGGCTTTAAGCTACGAACTAGCTCACTTGCTATCTCATTTGTGCCTTGTGAAAAACAGAGTAATAAGTTACACTTTGCTGATAATGAAGAAGTGAACATGAATGGAATTGCTCCCAGAAAGTAAATTACTAAATAAATACGCATTAACAAATGATCCTAAGACAAGAATATGCTTGTGGGAGCAGCTGCATTTTCACTGAGGCCAGTCTTGAATAACACCCTGCCCTACAAAAGGCTGAGAGTCACCATGACAAAGCAAAAAATTGCTACCAAGGTTATTAAGGTGATGATGACTCTTTTCATTCAATGGTATCACAGGGATCAGAAAATGATGTGGCACATTCTTCAGTTTTGTTCCCTCCTTTTGTTGTTGTTCATGGCTGCCCCTTCTGCAGGTACAGCTTGATCCTGCTTCTCAATCTCCTTCCACAAACAACTGGGTGCTGAACTTAATCAGGAGACTTTATAGGGCTGGGCGTGTTTTAGAGACATTGTCATAAGAGCTTCCAGACCCTTCAGTTTAGAAGGAACACCATTAACATGCACACATTTAGGACAGAACTAGTACAGTAATGTATTCACATTTATTTACTTGCATTACCACAAATTTTATAGACATAGGTGGGTGTATTGACAAGGACTTTTATTGTGCTCAACAAAGGAAAGGTCTGAACAGAAACACTTGGACTGCAAGCCATGAGGTAGAAAGCAACAGGAAACAGAAGCAATCAATCTGAGGCAGTGGTTTCAGTATAGCAACCACTCAACCATCATCAAGAGTTTAGCAGGCCTGAGGAATTTCAGAAAAAATAATTAGGTGGCTATGAGGTATTTACAATTACTTTTTCGGAGAAGAGAGAGTGCTTCTTGGAAAAAGCATCAAAAGCACATGTTTGAAAAATATCAGGTTGGAAATGGAAAATTACTAAATTGCATCATAACCCAATCAGAGGTAGGGTTTGACCTCTAAATACTGAAAGGGTTATTTTAGAAGTTGTTTTACCTGAGCAGTCACAGCACACATAGTTGTGGTGAGTTCCTGGGAATAATCATTTAATTCCACAAGCAGTAAACTTGGTGAAGCCTGGTTTATTTTGAACTCATGTTTCCTTTTCTTACTTGCCCAACACAATAACCTCTCCTAAAGCTCTTTATGACTTTCTCCTCACCTCAGCTATACTTCTTCAGCATGTTTCTTCTCATGACCTCTAAATACCTTCTTGGTGAAGGCTCCCTTACAAGGGGCATGTTTTGTCTCTCAGCCTGATACCCATGGTGAGTGGCCCAGCCATTGCTGGTGAGCTTCAGCTTTGTGTCATTTAATTTCCTTTCTGATGTAGAGACAGTCTTCAGAAGTCATGTAGAAAATCCCACTATTCTTAATCTCAGATGGTCATCCTTACTAAGCAGAAAAGAGAGAAAGGCACTCTTAGTCCATGATTCATCCTATCCCAAAATAGACATCTAAATCA